TCACAAAGTAGTGCCCAATTTCAAGCAACCTCCGAAATCGGTGACCTGTTGACCTAAGTAATCTCATTTGCATAAAACCCACAGACACATTTTGAGGGGTCAACCATTATTATACACCTATTCTACTTGGAGCTATGGTCATTTTAATTTCCCCTACCCCAATTTTTTTTTTTCGCAGGCTTTGTGGTGACAGTTACATATAAACTACCTAGAAAAGTTAGTGAGACCCAATTTTTCGCGTGGTAACATATAGAATATATTTAAATATACATAATAACCTTCCAGAAAAACATCACTTTGTAGATTCTAAGGGGGGGGGGGGGTGCAAGGTGAGCTCCTCCAGCCCATGGACTACTAGTTTTTTTATGGTCAGCGCTCTTTTAGCTTTCAAGCGTCTGTTATATGGAATAATCTACACTGACTCAGTATACAACTTTTAACATGTGCATGACCTTGTTGTTTTTCTGGGGTTTTTTTGTTTGTTTGTTTTTTTAGGGGGAGGGGGGTACATTGTCACTTTATAAAGTGTACCTGAACACGTTATAGGAAAGGGCGCACTATACATATGCCGTAATAATAATACAAATGTAACTGGCGTCATTTGTGGTATATTCTTGTTGAGGAAGTATTTTTTAAATGATTAAATAATTTGCAAGATTCGTCTTTTCTATATACAGTAGTATTCTATTAGTATTCCAGTTCCTATTTGAAATTTCTACAAGGATAATCCGCGTATAAAACTATTAGCATATTTAACCTGGGGGTTGATGACATGATTAGATGGTGTTTCAAAAGTGAAACTTATCTATTTTTCTTGGGATACTATAAAATGGATACTGACACATTAATTTGTCTGTCAAAATTAATGTCGCTTAAAGCACTAAATATGTGTTGGGATTGTTATGGTATGATCAGGTCTTTATTAGTTTGTTTAACTTCATAATTTTGGTGTTGAAGTTGCACAAGTCAGAAAAGGTAGTTGAGAAAAAGCAAGTTAAAGATGTCGGTATGTTCTAAAACAAAATCTCATGCCCCACCATAAATAAATATCTCGACAATTACACCACAATACTTGTATATATATATATACTAAGCTTTAAATCAGTTTCGCACAATTATAGTCACTAAATAAACGGTTATGTTGTACTTAATAAGATATGACCATTTAACCATTTATAAATAATACACTGAAAAATGGTTCGGAGTGTCGTCCATGACATCCAGACACTTTTGAGCAAAAAATAGGTTACGTGCCCTTGTTTTGAAATTAGTCTCACTTAACCAGTCTACCGACCATTCTCCGTCTGATTGACAGGCCGGGATAATCAAGACTACTTTTTTACGAAACATGACAGAAAGCTAGAACAAGAAATTGAATTTACAAATAACGCCCGGTGGGCGACACAACAATTGTTTTAAGAACCTTGTAAAAGTAAAATGAAACTACTGCTAGTATCATTTTCCTGCCCAACCCGCGTTATTCAGAGATATTATTTGTACTAAACCAAAAGATGCCACTCCTTACGGTCTAGTTAATGATAAAGCAATTTAAAAAATAAAACGAGCGTAATTTCTAAAGCTGCAGTAATAACCACAAAACTAAATATTACTGCTATTCAGAATCATCAACAATAGATTTTCTACGTCTGTAATAGTTATTACAAGTGTTGAGAATTTTACGTGCTGTGGCTATTTATAGACACAAAGAGAGCCCGACACTCGTCTGAAATCAATTAGAGTTACGTCACCGAAGCGTGCACATTCAACGGTAAGGTTTTCGTCATTTACTCGCGTCACTCGAGTCGACTCCATTGCCGAGTTTACCCGGGTGAATCATCCCGAACGGTCCGAGTAGTCACATGACATCAAAACAGTTACGACGTCAGTATGTGATCGAGAGACAGGCTTTTTTGCGTATAGGACGCCATTTTGTGTCGTGACAAACCCTTTTACTCTCCGCTCAACGGGGAGTAAACGGGTTAGTCACGTGATGCGACTCGAGTCAGTCATGTGACCAACTCGATTCAAAACGCGAACGGTCTGGTGTCGACTCGAGTGACTCGGGTGAACAACGAAAACCTTACCAACGTGTCGAGTACAACTTTTAGTAGGGAAAAGTTTCGGCCACGAGGCATCCTACATAGCAACCACGCCACAAATTTATTATTTTTTCGTTTAACATTTCCCCCGATATTATAACTTCTGTTAACCAATTACTTAGCACAGGCGATTAAGATTGTTGATTTGGTAACCAAGTTTAGTTTCTTGATAATCAAAGAAGCCGCCACAGATAAACGTGTGTTCTGTTATCTTCGTCACACGACTGAAATAAATCAAGGCTTTGCGTGTACAATAGGTCTACTGTTATTTTTAGGTACCGTAATAGTATTAGAATCTGACTTAGAGCATTTTGGCGGTGGTATAATGGAACAAATTACGGACCGTTTTCTCACTCGAAAACCGTCACTATTCGACTCTTTCGTTGTTCTCACGTTTCCGACCCATGGTGATAATAGAATTTGAAACAATAATATCCAATTAGGCAAGCTTGTATATTTTACATACCATATGAAGCCACAGCAAAAGGGATTCAACTATCGAAATATAATTTTTTAAAGACGAAATGAAATATCAAATAATCACCGCTTGGATTAATTATTCGGAGTAAATAATGACTTGGGGAAACCTTCATATATTTCATTGGCAACTATCAATCAACTAATCATTAATCAATGACAATTATTACTCAATGACATGATCCGGATCTTCAGCTAGTTGATTAATTTAAAGTATCCCCCACGCGGTTTTAGTTTTCACTCATCAGCAATCTACATCGGATTAGAATTTTAAGATTTTTTCCGCCACTTCTCAGAAAGAATCGGAACTACCCCAAAGCAAAGCAAATTTTTATCGACACTTTCATTTCTTTTATGACAAATCGATGCGGTTCATCCTCTCATGATCCCAATGCTGCACACCAAATTTGAAAGACATCGATTTAAAAAAACTTTAGCCTCGATCGAGCCCACAATGTTTTCGGAAAAGGGTAAGAACTCCGTAACGGAAAAGTAGGGAAATCCTGAAAATCAATAAGATTCATGCTCTCATGACCATAATGCTTCCCACCAAATTTGAAACTATGTCCTCCGTTGTGTTACATACAACACTATTTATGTAATAACAATTAACATGCAACGTTTCGACGATGATACTCTCGTCAAAGGCGGTTATTCCTGGGTGGGACGATCAGGTCAAGAATGTGAAGAATACTGCCATGTTCTAGCACTGGTTGTGGAAAGAGAATAATTGTACGCAATCAGGACTGCTCGCCGTCATCAGAAGAATGACTCGGGCAAGGTATCATTATTCCATTAGATTAGCTCGAAAACAAGAGAATCAAACCCGTTCGAACAAAATGGCTGAAAATCTTATCAATAGCAATATGCAAGACTTTCGGGGCGAAATTAAGAGGATTAATGGGTCCAGTAACTCGCTTCCACAAAGTGTCGATGGGCAGATGGGAGCCGATAATATAGCCTCATTATTTAGCTGTAAATATAAGCAACTTTTTAGCAGTGTATCGTATAATGAAAATGATATGATTAAGTTAAAGGAAGACATTGAGTTTGGTATCAATCATGTGTGTAATAGTGGTAAATGTAAATATGATCATAATATTACACCAACTGAATCCCATTTAGGAAATCTGCTTCATAGTTCGTCAAAACATGAACATTTACGTCAATGTATAAATAATTTTACTGTTGAAAGTAATGTAACATTAAGAAATTTTACATTCTCATAAATTATTCAAAACTTATTGTATGCCCATGTATGGGAGCCAACTATGGGATTTCTCACAAAAGTCATTAGAGAGTTTTTATGTAGCCTGGAGAAAACAGGTTAGGAAAGTATTCAACATTTCCCCAAGAACCCACAATAGTTTATTGAATATTATATGTCAGGATTTGTCAATTGAAACTCACCTTCATAAACGTTTTATTATGTTTTGTCATAGTATTATACATTGTAGTAATGTATGTCTTCATATATGTGGAGGGGGGTGGATGGCCGAATGGTTAGCACGCGCGCACTGTATCCACCCGATGCAACTGAGGTATACCCTATTCAATAAGCCTCTATGATTCAGTTCCACCCGGTTGAATAGGCGTTATATTATAATATAATAATATATATGATTGAGGTTGGTCTATTGAGTAGGGTAGAATAATAATACCATAGCCTTATGTACATACACATTAGCCAATCAGATTTCGTGTTGACGAATGACGTCATCAAAGTCTAATGACGTAGGCTGTTAGTATTAGGCGCGATCCGACATTTTGGACCAGATTCTAGAACTATAAGAATTTACATTGTCATTAACGATGTCGTCGACGACACAACAACCAGAGGTAAGATTCTAAATACTTTTCACAGATCAAGATTCTAAAATAGAATGGAATAGACTTGACTAGGTCGCGAATGATCTAGGCCTACTAAGTATTAGTAACTAAAAGGCTAGGCAGGCTAGTCTTGATTTTATTTCCAGATTTAGCGCAGCCCTTTACCACAATGCCGAGCAATAGTGGGGCTGGATAGACTCTTAGTCTTGGACTGGGATTACCAGATTCTGAATGCGTAGGCCTGTTACATTTTTTAAATATTAGCCTACCCCGAGTTTGCATTTTATCAAATCGACAACACTGCCGTGCCGGTTAGTCGATCACAGGACGGTATCGAGTGCGCCCTTCTACCTCGTTTTGAATTAAAAACTGACCTTGAACTAGAAAAAAAGGGTCTCTCGGCAAACCTCGAAGGATTCCGGTACTGGAATCTGCTGGGGTTTGCCGAGTGAAAGGGTTAGGCCCGAGCTTATTTATAAACCGGGGGGGTTGGATGGCCGAATGATTAGCACGCGCGCGCTGTACCGGTATCATAAATTAAAGCCTGTCATTGAGTCAACTGGCGTGGTTTCGAATCCCCGGTTGTACGGGGTCGCCTGTCTATCTCGTGGGTTTTCTCCGGGTCCTCCGGTTTCCTCCCACTGCTAAAGACCCCTACACACAAGCGAATTATTGAAATAAAATTAAACCATATGTTAGTCCCGAAATGACCTAGTTCACCTAGTTTGTGTCGAGTGGACGTTAAACCCCGTTTCTCTCTCTCGGTAGGCATTAGCACTAATAGCAGGGTTAGGGTTTTGAAGAGCCGTTTTATAACTCCTGAATTATTTAATTTTACAGGGACTCGTTTGAAAGAAAACTATAATATTATTATATTATTAAATATACTTTATAAATTATGTTATGCATTATGTATGGGAAAATTGGGAGATTAGATAAAGAGCTGGCAGTTCTCACTATATTATTATTAATTAATAGTGTTAATGTCTAATAAATAATTTAGCTAACATTTAGGCCTAAAGAAACACCGACAAGTACAATTCTAGGTAAATGTAGCTCTTGCATAATGTTTAAATATTAATTTCAAAACGAGTGAGTTGTTGGGTCCGCGCTAACCCTGTTTACATTTCGTGACCTTGACGAAATCTGCAGGTGAGCTAACCAATACCGAATGTTTAGATCTATTTGATAAGGCCAACTTCAAATTGGTCAAAGGTCACGAGATGTAAACAGGGCTAGCGCTAATCCTATCCCTAATCAGGAGTATGGTTCACGGGCGTAAATACTTCATATCCGATTCCTGTTTTAAGCTTTATAATACAAGTCCCCAACAATGTTTTCTGACAGTGTCATTAATGTATTGTCTTAATATCTTTTTTTTTTTTTTTTAGATAGCATCAATATTGAATGAGATGTATGAGAAGGGCATGACATCAAGGGCTAAGGCCCATAGTCACCTACATAGTGAGGCCACACTACGAACCGGGCTTCCACTCCAAACTATATTGGTAAGTTCTTTAAATATCCTGAAAATCTTTTAAAAACGTGATTTATGGTATTTACACATGTCACCCTGGGCCTGGGGTGAAGTTACCATTCCCTTGACTTGCGCGCACGAGTGCCTTTTTCCTCTTAACCCTGTAGCGCCCCATGTTGCATATATACAACATATATCTGGTTGGTAAGTGCAGAAACTCAAATTGACAACACATTTTTTTCCTAATATCCATTGCAACCCTTATAACCCAGTGTTGCATAGCTGCAACATACAGTGTTTCCATCTATCAGTCACTATGTATACTAGGCCTCTCAATATGGCGGCTGTGTCACTGCCTCATCTTTGGACCCTTACTGTACAAATACCAGGTGAATGCTGAACTTGTCATATATCTTATTTTTATGGGTACATATTAGGGCGTAACTACAATACTAAATTGTTCCGTATTTCATAGAATTATTTTTACTTTAGAATCGTTTTTAATGTTGTTGCAAATATGCAACATTGGGGTTTAGTGAAGGCAAAATAAGGGGGAAATAATTCTTTTATTTTAAACCTCTCTGAGGGGGGTTGGATGGCTGAATGGTTAGCGTGCGCGCGCTGTATCATAAAGTCTGTCATTGAGTCAACTGGCATAGTTTCGAATCCCTGGTTGTATGTGACAAGGAGGAGGGTCGCCTGTCCAACCTCGTGGGTTTTCTCCGGGTCCTCCGGTTTCCTCCCACTGCTAAAGACGTTAAATGTCTGAAACCAAATGTTAGTCCCGAAATGACCTAGTTTATGTCAAGTGGACGTTAAACCCCATTTATCTCTCTCTCTTAAACCTCTCTGTTTTTATACGCCAACATTTAATATGGTCAGGTTATTGGCGGATATTTTCAGGGATTGTTTTGAAACCTGTCGGAATTCAGACCTTTTCGATCGTAAATCGCGCAGTTACATACCCGTTTACATACCCGCTTATGCTCACAATATAAGTTTTTAGTGATTTACAAACCAAAGCACGATATAGTCCGTTACAGACCGGATGCAGGATACATATTTTTGATTCTGCAGGTCTTTCTGATTTTTAACGCTTTGAAAGTTGTTTGTATACAGCTAGGAACAAGAATATTTTTGGCAGGGGATAGAACATATCGGCCTCTTCGCCCATATATAAATCATTGGAAGGTGTACTTTTAGATTGTTTCATTTTATTGTTTGTTTTGCAGATAACTTACTAAACATCAATGACTGGGCAGCGCAGTGTAAGCTGTTGGGGGATGTAGAAAAACAAAACTACAGAGATAGAGCCCAACAGCTTCCCACTGTTGTTGACCCAAAAAAAACGTTACAGAAGATTTTCTCCTTGGTAAATTTGTTTTTACACGCCCACATTTTTATGTTGTCACCCCTGTGAGGACGCCCGTTCTCAATTTTATAGAGACTCTACTATTGCCTCTGGTTGTACGAAAATCACCTATTGTGTAACATTGGGCCATTTGAGCATTTTTATCCTTCTCCGTTGACCTCTTTTCTCCCGCATGATTCCCCCTGTCAGTGTTGCAGGACACCTGTCTATCGAATGGGACGAAAAACCGAGGTCCCGTGTATACATTGGCGTTTACGTAAAAGATCCCTTGGCTGTTGGAATTCGATATAGGATTAGGACATAGTTCCGTTGCCCGGGCAACATTTCCCTCATAGCACACTGTATGGCGTATGCCCGTCTTCATTAGCCCAGTCGGAGTTGAACAGTAGAACGTTAAACCCCATTTCATTTCATTCCCGTTGGCCTTTCTGTCCGTCGGGCAATTTCTTGTAAATATAAAATCGAGAGCGGCTAGGTGTTTTGAACGATTTTTTTTATCAGATTTGACGTGAAGTGTAGGGACCATGGCAGGACCTACTCTGATGATTTTCACTTTAAAATGTAGGGGTCTCTTGCATGGCAAGCGCTTGTTGTTTGAAGATAGTTACAAAGTTATATACTCATGTGCCTTAATACATGATATGTTGCAGTAGGTATGGTTCTTAATTTATGTGTCTCTTGTCTGTTACAAGGTTTGGAACGTGCAAAAATGTCAATGCGCCACGCTGCAGTATGATAATTATGTTGGAAAATAAAAAGTATATCTTTAAAACATATAATTGCCCCGTACTACATCTGTGGAAAATCGATGATAAAATAAAATCTTTTTATCTTCAGATTACCGATTTATTCGATGTGGGTGTAGATCTGGTTTGTGTCGGGAATAATCTAGATCATGTTTGGACGTGGAAAACCACTGGAGTTTTTCACGTCCAGGCCAGATGTTATGGATAATTTCTATTCTTTTTGTTCTATAGGTATGTAACAATTATTACTAATCATGTTTTGTTAAATGGCTGCAGATGTATATGCTCCCTTGCACCATAAATAAATAAAAAAATATTGTTTTGTCTTAGCATATATCTCTGACGTACTTGTTGCTTTTGCTTTCAGGAGCTGGTGATTACCATAATATTAATAAGCATTTAATACCCGATCGTAAAGCAGCACAGGACCACCTGAATAATCTATATTGTGAGTTTTAAAAATTACATTGTTGTTTTTTACCTTCTATTTCATCTTATATACTTGGAAATTAAAACTGGATACGTGGATCTAAAAAAGATAATCAATGAATTTTTTAAAAGTCTAGTGTTCTCTTTAATGTTCGAATTTTAATGGTAAAAAGAATTATTTCGCAATAACATATTGTCTGTAACTAGATTAGTGGTCTTTAGGAATATGTTTATAGAACAAAGCAACTAGAAAAGGAGAAACAAAAGGACAGTCTAATTTTGACTAGGGAAATTATAAATAAATGGCCTGTATGTTAATCTGTTTTATTGCGCACTGCTAATTTGAATAAAATGTGTTTAAAAGGACTCTAATGATATGAGATCGTAGTTTCTCTGGCAGAAGCCCTCTCAAAAGAATAATAAAATATCTACAACCGTCAAAATAGTGTATCGGCAACAAAGAATGAAAAAATTAATCACCTTCTATCTTATTTAATTTGTTGAAGCTAAAGCAATAGGTAAGGAAGGGTCTTATATGCCATACAAGAGTTTAAAGGATGGCACCTTAAAGATAAGTGGACTTCCTAGAGAAATAGGGGTGTTACAGCCACCATCCCAGTATGGTGCCAAAAAGCTGAAAATGTTAATTGGTGTGGATGAGATCAAAATTGTCAGGTACATATGATCTATTGTTAATTCAAATTAGTTTGATTTGCCCCCCCCCCTTTATCAATCGTCAATGTTAAAGATAGGATAAGCCCACTAAAGTCTAGCTCACGGCTCGCCATCCTGTTTTGGCACGCACGAATTTAATCAAATTTCCCCGTAGACTATCCGTAGTACTAGTAGCCCCTACGGCGGGTTATGAGCTAAACCAGTGCACAAGACTTACGCGTCGCTTGCGTGTGTTCGGCACCGTAGGAGTTCGCAGACTTGCCGTAGACTGTTGATCCTGCACATAAAGAATTTTGACCCGGTTTCTTGAGGCTGATCTGCGAGCTACCAAACCCTACGTCAAAACACGTATGGCGGGTTGTGGGCTACCCGGCTCGGCTTTAGCTGCTCTTCCTGCTGGTATCTAAATCATTAATAATTAAATTGTATTGAAATATTGAGAAGCATTCTGTTTTCGGTAATTTAATCTTGATTTTCACGGTAACTAGATTTACACACTGGACCCTTTGTTCTGAAAGGGCCTGTGATAAACTTGCGTCTATCTCGTATCCGTCCATTTCCATTCACTCATTCAACTTCTTACACAAACAAAGAATCCAGTGTGTAAGCTAGTTATCGACCTTCGACCCTCGGGGTCAAGTTAGATGAACACCCGAGCTCGCGCAATTGAACACCAGCTCGGTGTTCATCTAACTTGAACCCCTCTGTCTCAGTCGATAACCCTTACGTGTCAGTTACTAATAAGGCAAATGTCAGATGAATAATTATCGTCATATTTCCATGGAAAGAGATTACTCTTTAAAATAATTAATAGTCTGGAGCATATCTTTCAGGCTGTACAAAATATATTTGTCCCCCGCAGGGGACTATTAAAATGGGTTCGTCCGTCTGTCTGTCTGTCCGCCTGTCCGTCCGCCCGGCTGTCTGTCCGTCACACTTTTTGGGACACAATAACTCTCCTTCTAATTGACCTAAAATGTTCAAACTTGATGTAGGTGTTTATTAGGTCAATGCCTTGATGGAGTTCGAAGATGAGCATTTTCTGCTTAGGGTAAGCAGAGATAAGCAATTTGATTGGTAGATGCTTTGGGACACGATAACTTTAGTTCTAATTAAGTGAGAGAGATGAAACTTGGTGTATAGTTTCATTACATCAATACCTTGACTAAGTTCGATAATGAGCATTTTCTGCTCAGGGTAAGCAGAGCGATAAGCAATTTGATTGGCCGAGACTTTGGAACACAATAACCCTCCTTCTGATTGAGCTAGAATGTTCAAACTTGGTGTAGGTGTTTATTAGGTCAATGCCTTGATGGAGTGTGAAGATAAGCATTTTCTGCTTAGGATAAGCAGATATAAGCAATTTGATTGGTTGATGCTTTGGGACACGATTACTTTAGTTCCAATTAAGTGAGAGTGATGAAACTTGGTGTATAGTTGCATTACATCAATACCTTGACTAAGTTCGATGATGAGCATTTTCTGCTCAGGGTAAGCAGAGCGATAAGCAATTTGATTGGCCGAGACTTTGGAACACAATAACCCTCCTTCTAATTGAGCTAGAATGTTCAAACTTGGTGTAGGTGTTTATTAGGTCAATGCCTTGATGGAGTGTGAAGATAAGCATTTTCTGCTTAGGGTAAGCAGAGATAAGCAATTTGATTGGTTGATGCTTTGGGACACGATAACTTTAGTTCCAATTAAGTGAGGGTGATGAAACTTGGTGTATAATTTCATTACATCAATACCTTGACTAAGGTCGATGATGATGCTTAGGCTACCGAGCAATAAACATTTTGATTGGTCAAGACATTGGAACATAACAAGTCTTCTTCTAATTGAGGTAGAATGTTTAAACTTGATGTAGATGTTCGTTTTGACTGAGTTCAATGATTAACATATCGAGCTAAAGCTAAGCAGAGATAAGCAATTTCCTGCTTTGGGACAAGATAACTTTGATTCTATCTGATAGAGAGTGATGAAACTTAGTGTATAGTTGATAATCAGTTGGATTGCTTGATACTTTGGAAAAAAATAGATGTGCGATTAATTAATATGTGTCATCTATTTATTTGGGGATTTCGGCGGGGGACATCAGCCTCACTGTTGGCTTGTTTATAACTTTTTTGGGTACAATCGGTTACTTAGCAAATCCAATCAATGTTTTACCTTTGCTTATACATTAATTTCAGTGATGATAATGTCGAACAAGCAAATCCAGATAAAGAGATTGAAGGTACTAATTTTCGTATTGTTTATGTGCAATCGTCTATACTAGTGTGTCTGTTTTCGTAACCCAGGCGTGACTATTCATTTATTTACTACCGTAAATATTATCTTCAACTTTGTTTTCTTTTTTTCTTTCAAAGAGCAAGAAAGAGCTCAAGAACATTTATCAATAATACCAGAAAGAGATGAAGCTATTGCTACTGTTAAGTATTGTTTATATTTCCGAAAACTTTGGGGATTTGATAGCGGCTAAAGTTTTTAAAGGTTTTTTTTTCGTATTTGATGTGGATTAGCTCAATTGATTTGCCCTGTTCTCAATACATCAGTTTTATCTGAATCAGACCAATACATGTGGCCTCGGGATAGTCCACGACATATTTCAAAATTATACGTAAGGGCCAATGTCGAACCAAGACACTACAGTTTTGAAAAGTTATTCCTTCATATTTGATGTCATTCATTGAGACAATGAAAGGATAAACCATGTCGACTTACAAAGCAATTATTATCTTCAACCCTTTATGGACAATTCATCTAGCTTTAAAATGACACTTGACCTTTTTTCTGACCTTTGACCTTGGGAACGAATATGCCCCGAAGGTTAGGGTCCTATTTAGCCTCTAGCGACTTTTGCCCTTTGCGCATGCGCTATGCTATGATAGAACCAAGGGTGTCATGACTAGGCTAATAACCTTTCACGTGGATGCCAAGGTTGCCTGAAAATTTCAAGCAGATGCAATTGCAGGAACAATGATTTTTCGCTACAACTCCGACTACCGCCCACCAGACTTTTTCCTTAAAAGATGTATTTTTTACCGGAATATTATTATTGTTCCTGGAACAGCAGTCTATCGACGCTTTACTATCTAATAGGTATTATTAGGATTATACACATTCTTTCAAAATTTGGAGATCCTTCGACACATGGAACCATGTTTTCTAAGCTTATAGTCGAACATGGCAAAAAATGGCATTTGGCCGCGGCGGTACTACTTCGCTGGTTGTAGGATCTTAAAGTCTTAATTTTATAGGGCCTTGAAACTTTAATAGAATGTGTATAATACAGATACCTATTAAAAGGAGAAATATCTGCAATTCCATGGGCAATGTTAAGTCGATAAAATACGGCTTTTTTGCATATTGTTTGATATTATTACCTACTACGATCATATATCCCCTCCAAGTCAACTAAGGTCCTGATCTGACACTTAACAATGCCAAAATGGTCGAACATCTAGACCGATCACGCCCATTGTTGGTGGGTACCTCACTACGGACCCCTACCATCGACCTGTCAAATGTTATTGACCAACTGCACATAGGAGCTGAGTTATGCATTTTTTCTAGGGGGTACTCAAATGACATTTGGCCACGGAAGTACTCTTCCGGTGGTTATAGGGGCTTAAAATTTTAATAGAATGTGTACAGATACCTATTGAAAGGAGAAATATCTGCGATTCTAGCAACAATGATAATTCGATTAAATACTGTTTGATATTATTATCTAGGATCATATGCCCCAATCAAGTCGACTAAGGCCACAATCTGACACGTGACTATCCCAAAATGGAGTTACGTTGGAGAACGTTTTTTTATTTCGAACGTCTAGTTTTGCCTCCCCGAGTCCCAGAGCGGTGATTCAAGACAAAATTGCAAAAAGTTCATGTCATATTATGTTTATTATTGATTTTTGGCAATCTTAGAGCAGTGACTATAACACTAAGCAACCTGAAGAAGGCGAAAGGGGGGGGGGGGGTCTGAGTCAACAGGTAGGTTTACATGCTCTGGGCGGTAAATTACGTGACGGATTTGGGACAGAATCTAGAGGCCTCTGCATGTTAATTCCGCATGTTTTGTGAGATTATATAGGCATGTTTTTGTTAAATTAAAAAATACTACACCCAATATTGTCTATTATTTTATTGCAATAGCTTGCCTTATTGTCTGAACTCACACTGGTTCTGTATCATCTGACTAGAACCTTCAAAAAGAAGAAACAGTTATCAGAATTCAAGTTTCGCCAGGAAGTAGGGCTACACAAAACTTAAAATTTCATTTGTTTTCCCTGTTCTACTTATATCGAATTTACACACAAGTTATAGTGTATTGTATAATTTTGATGATACAGGAAGATCCATCATGGATACATCCTAACACTGTTATTTTAGTCCAGTCGGAGTTGTATGGATGTTTACGCGTTTGTGTTTACTCCCTAGTATCTCACTAGTACCCCTAAACCAAGAATAGTTAGAAGTCTTCATCAGGACTCTCATCTACAACAGTGGGATCACCATCCTCATCTTCACCAGAATCATCATCAGATTCCACATCAGAATCATTGATGGGATCATCATCATAAATAAGATTGTTGACATCAACTGCCAAATCTTTCTGTATTAACTTATGTAAGCTTATATTATCTGGAATGTCACAATTCAGATTCCATTCTTTAATTAAATTTTCTAAAACGAAAATATGATAATGAAGAAAGTTCGACACTCCATTATTAAATCGCGAATTACCCGTATCTTTTATTCTATCAATTTCTTCATTTAACTCTACACATTGGGAAGTAATGTTGTCAATTAGTTTTTGTTTCTCCATTTCTGTATTTTCTAACTCTTGATTAGATCTTTCCAGAAGTATATAAACATCAATTATACAACGTTATTCTTTGGTGATTTCACAATAAAGATCTGTATGAAATAGATTTGAGTGAATGTCAATAACATCGTTAAATTCGATTTTTCTAAATGGCGCAAGCTGCTTAATTCTCTTGTTTAATAATGTGGTGTTGTTAGCTAGTTGCTTAGAAATTCTTTTCCATGTGCGCTGACCATCTGTAAAAGACAAATAAAGGGACATATATTTATCAATTTAAAACCCCACATAAAAAAGTCAAAATACCATTTGATTATTTATTCAGTTTGATGTGCCTAATCCTCACCAGGGAGTTACAAACGGTATTTCTTTTTTTTTGTATAATAGAAAGTACGCACTCTGTTGGCAGGGCATTGGTGATTGCTGGAATTAGAGTCGGTACTGGAAGAATAAATGTGACTAAATACCCTTATATTGAGAATATGAAGTTAGTTTGTTACATTAACTTACCTGCATATCTCTTCAACATTATAGTTAATTGTTGGCGTTCAATCGACAATTGTCGTAATTTCCCCAGAAGCATATCTCTTGTACCAGATTGATTACCTGAAATAAAATATATAGATATACCAGCCGTTTTCATTGCGGTAGATCTAATTATTTATGAGAGAGTTCAACTAATTTGCCATATAAAAACACACAGTAGAAATTCTTTATTAGTTTAAGAAGTCCATGTCTTAACTGAATGTCAAATTGTGGCATGTACTGTTAAAGGGGCGAAAAATGTGGAATAATTAGTAAGAGAAAGGCATCAAAAATAAAAATATAATTATCTTAAATTTCATACCTTTTTGGTGGCTTCTATTAACTTGATTTTTCAAATTTTCAATCCACTGTTTTACATCTTCATAATCTATAAAAGAAAGGATTATTCCATATGTTAACATATAGAAGGGTGTGGGAAAATTTAAAATGTACAGGAAACGACTTGTAATTTTATCAGTCAGGATATATGCACATACAACTGGAAAATGTGTCTTTTACATTATTTAACATTATTTATCACTGGTCTGGGCCAGCATTTGGAATCAGAACTGACAACCTACAATGCGTCGATCAAAAAATTATCATATCTACCTTGACCTAGTGGCTGAAGATCAATATCTAATTTCTGTTTGCACTGGTTAACATTGTTCTTCGCTTCTTCCAGTTTGTTATCCAATTTTATACCTGTTAATGAATGAAAAATGGATGTCAAGACTGATGTGGACTGTCATCTTTTGTCACTGACCTACATCACCGTGTCGTCTATAAGAAACTAATCTGGGCAGAAAATGAACTCAAAGTACTTTATTGATATCAACACTCTTGCATTTGAAAGGATTAGGCTAAATACAATTCTGTACAGCGGGTCAATTGTTTAAATACCCAAGAAATAAAATGGTGGTACTGGATATAGTTGTCTTTCCAACAATATTGATGAATCTTGTACCGACAGAAGATATTCAATAACACCTGATGCCACTTCTTACGTGGGTCTTCCTCTCTGCACATTATTAGGAAGTTAGTACAACTAGAGCAGTATTTGGTTCGAAAGATCCTGGCTTTCAGAGGCAAGTGAGTGTATATAAAAAATACAAGAAGTTTAAATAATTACCTAGTTTTAATGCTGCCTTTTCCGAATAGTGGAACATGGCTTCTGTTAATAGATCCTGTCGGAGAAAGGACCAAAATCTTTCTATGCCCTCTCCATCCACTAACCCTGTCTCTTTGACAAACCTCTGGCCAAAGTTTAACTGAAAATGTGATGAAAGCGTCAATTGTAAAATCTGGGGACATCTAATTATTTTGCATGTTATTTTCATGACATATAAGTTAGGTTAGGTCAAAAAAATGAAAAATTAGTTTATATCTCATTTCCCAGGCCCTATATAAGTCTGTCTTGTCCTGATTTTCTCTACAAGAATTCCAACGCTGAAATTTCGATGTTATATAAATTTTTAAAACTACAGATTTTTTACGCACATCAAAGTCCAATAGCTTAATGGTAGCAGTAACATATATATCTTTATGGTTGTTACCTGGCAAGTTAAATTATGTGCAAAGGAATGGAAAACTGGTACAGTAAGGATGATCCTCTCAAGTAAATCGTTATTGTTTTTCTGTAAAATAGAAGAATTTATTATTTAATAATCATCTTTTATACTGACTAATATAACACTAACTATAAGATTTACTCTGAACCACTGGATCGTTAGTTTTTGTACATATCAGATACAAATTACATGTATCTATGAAATAACAATGCATCAATTACCATGTCATAAAATAATATTTTAATTCTTACCAACCTTCAAATGTTTTTCAAGCGAGCATGCAATATCATAACTGATAACAATCTGCTCTGACGACAGACTGGAAAATTCCATTGCTAGAAAACTGGAATAGGCTAAGCTGAAAAAAGTTAACTATATTAAAGGTACAAATCTCTGCATGTCATCTACATCCAATAAAAGTATTGAGCATTTTGAAGTCACGGTTTAAATTTATCAATCAGAATCGGAGTGCCTCGTTTGTGTTGATCACATTTATTATCAGCCTGCCCGGTTTCCGTGACAGTCAAGTCACGTGACGAACATACCTACTTAAAAGAGTTTTGTACGGGATATATGCTTGTGGTTAAGATGTTTTAATTAGTTTGAATATGTTATGAGTCCACATATATCATCAAATCCACTGATTTGATATTATTTGTTGTTTATTTATTGTCATGTTGTAGTTTGCACTTATTAATCTAATAGAAGAGTGAATAATAAAGACATTACATTGTAAACACATTACCTTTCCCCTCTATCCATGTTTAAAAACTGCAAGGGAACATCATGCTTGCAAATAGAACCAAACAAACCAGTTATATCTAATTTGGAATTAGTTTGGTTAGATCGTAGAGCATTGCCAGCTTTAAAGTTTGAACAATTCTGGAATCAAAGGCAATTCTGTAGTATGCCATTATGCTTGGCACTGACAAGGACTCTAGAAACTGGTGTAAAATATGTGCTATGAAGCTCATTATTGAATATATTGAAGTAATGCACCTCATGATAATTATGCCAAATAAATTTGTTATCGAACTCAGACATAACATTAACCTAATGCACCTCATGATAATTATGCCAAATAAATTTGTTATCGAACTCAGACATAACATTAACCTAATGAACATGTGCACCAATTAGAAGCACAGTCACTGTCGGACATACAGGACAGTCCAATTTTAATAGTTCTACACTATGGTGGCGGGCAAGGAACTTAAATATTCCTTAGGCACAACTGCGTAATCTTCAACAAAATCTAAAAAACGCTTCTGACATCTGAAGAAGGGGCCTTTGTGTCGTGGCTCTTGATCGTACGAATTACCCGATGAAACTTTCCTTACCAATCCAAAATTGGCGTCCAAAGTTATACAACTAGGATTCTACAATACAAGCATAAATTTGAGTTACAATTCTAATTCATAGTTCATTCAGAAGAATAATGTAAGGTTTATCTTTATCCAAATATTGTACTCTCCAAATCGATTTGAATTTTTCAAAAGGGAAAATCTAGTAGGTTTAGATAAAAATCCCACCTACCTGCTGACAAACTAGACATTCTTTTAGGAAAGTCACATGGGTAACTGCATGTCGAGTATTGAGACTGCTTCTATTATACATATATTCCATCATGCAGTCTCCCACCAAACTACGGTAAATATCTCTATCCTGAAATACAGAATATTAAACAAATAGCAAATTTAGCTAAATTTTGAAAACAAAGTTGTTTAAAGGGCGTATGACTATTCTTTGGAACCTTACAATAAACGAAAATGTAATAATATGAATGTATGTTTAGTGATTTATATTCCTTTCTTGAAAAAAAATACCTGTTACCACTGTTTGTCGTGTAATTTGTACACGAGGAGCAGTCCATTTGCTGATTACACTATTTTGCTTGAATACACTATTTTGCCTATAACGTTTTTTAGGACTTCGAATTCTGTCTTATGGTTTGGATTGTTCGTACTTGGTTTTATTTTATTGTAATTTCTAACCAATTATGTTCGGTGAAATACATGAACAGTCAAATTGAACGACAAAACCATTTAGCTTTAAACTACCTGGCTTTTTTTTATACATTTCATCGATGTGGTTACTTGTATAGGTAATTTTTTACTTCAATATGCTTACATTCGTATTTCAGGTGGCATATGGCAGATCATGACTCGTACTATTATAACACAATGTTTTTCTCTGGGTTTTTCAATTTTGAGTAAAGTTTGTATCACTACAGACCCGGGACTGTACTGCACAGTGGACGCTTACGGCAACATCCCTGATCCATTCACTTAATCTTATATGTACGTTTGTTTGTGATGTCTGCGTATTGTGTCTTGTCCGTATATAGATTTGTTTTGTGTTATTGTTTGTGGTGCAGTCAATTTGCACTTACTAATAGATACACGACTCGTTTAGTCCTACTGATTATGACATTTTTATTGTGTCTTAAATATTGGATTCTAGGATCCAGTATTTTTACGGCAAGATTACAGCATCAATACTGATTGGAATGGACTACAAATTGATTCTGTGGAATATCATTACCTCATGACGAAATCACTTGTCTTGTCATATTGTTATAAGCAAATAAATATAAAAAAGACAATATTTTGCCAACTCACAATACTTAATTCTGAATTAATTTGAGGGGTTTTAAAAAATTTCAGTGCTTCAACAAAGCTTTTTGTTGGCATTTGACATTCAAGCTGTAGGACAGTGCATAATTCCATCAGCTTGAAGTCAAATGGACACAGCTCACCAAATATTTCTACGCCGTCACCCACGAATGTAGGGCGAAAGCTATTTTTAGTCTTTCTCTCCCTTTCCCTTTTTCCCCCTTTTGCATGGCGATTTTTCTTGACTTTTTGGTGTAGAATCGAAGAAAAGGGTTTGAAAATACATTTTCTACCAGGTTTTGGTGAATACTCATGATTTTGAGGCGGAAGGATACAAGAGTTGAGAGGTTGGTTAGGTTGAAATGTAGGGTCCAAAATTGCATGTTTTCTTGTCTCTACTTCCAGCTTGTGTATCTCAAGTTTTTCATGGTGAACCTCATACGTGCTTTTGGGCAAGAGGTTGCCACATGTTGCTCCATCTGTGGTAGAAAGCGTTCTACTCAACGAAAATTTGGGAAATAGTTAGAGCCGGTCTAAGAGACGAGAATTAACATTAAAGTCAATGGGCAAATGTTTAGTGATCTGTGGCCTGTCTATGTGTGACAGGCTGAGACTGATATGCCTTAGTTTTGAAAATATGAAGATTAAACTCTCAGAAAATATGAATAAAATATTTTGACTACTGAAAAACTAAAAAAAGTTAAATTTAAAAAAAAAAAAATCAAAATTTGGAGAAAAATTGTGATTTTACTGCAAATTTCTCAATTTTCAGTTTTTATTTAATTTCTAATAGTAAGATAAATATTTTAATGCCCAATTTTGGCTTATTCAACCTCAGAAGGCACAGATACAGTGAACAGTATTGTAATTTCACCAAATTTTGTCTAAAAATCAGGAATATTCAAAGAAAATCTTTGGATTCCCCCCATTTCAATGTAAAAATTAATCCTTTCATGACTACTCAAATGAGTCAAAATGTCTAAAATGCCCTGATTTTCATTGCTAATAGGTTTAGAAATAGCCCCAGCTTTCCTACAGAAAATTGAAAATCTGTAAAACTGAGTTAATAATGTACAGCAGATGGGTTTGTACAAAGTGTTCAAAACAGGGGTTGGCTCAATTTTGCTACTGTTTTACCCAGAACAAGCATTTTTTTCTTCTTTGTAACATTAAATTCTTGCATTTCCTTCACGTAGAAAGCAATATTCCAGTCTTTCTAGCCATTTTTAACTCAGCCATTTCCTTAGGAGAGGCTATAAATGCCCCACCCCACCCTTTTTTATTAATGTGTTTTGAGAGATTTAATTGCACCTGTGTTGACAATTAAATGATAGTAATTGGAATTTGTGGTTGAATTACAGCTAGGAATGTTGTTTTTCACTAATAAATAGCTATTTTGTACATTTCAAAGATTTCTAAGCCTTTTTGTTTAAAGTCAAACTTAGAACTCAGAGACATGTCAGGCCAATGAGACCACACCCTAATATAAAACTGGTGTAGATGTGTAAATGTCAGCTTAATGTTCAATATTTTCTTATCAAAGTCTAGGATTTGTGGTGATTGTTGCATTTATGTTACTTATAGAACAGTTAAATGTTAATATTGCTCCTTTTCAGGCCTCCTTCATCTTGTCAACTCTGTCATAATTACTTTTTGGACTTCATTTTTTCAGGCAATTGATGTAAAGGTCCAGACATCTTGCTTCAGCACAAGAATTGCAATAAAGATTTGTATGGTGCCTCTGAGCCTTGAGATGTTGAAAACATTGAAATTTTCCCAAATTTGTGAAAATTGTGTATTCTGTGACCCTTTTGTTAGAGAGGGGTGGCCATAGACCAAATATGGCATTTTTTTCTTTCACCAAGGCCTATTTTTAACCATAATTCATATTTATTGCACATATTTTAGTTTATATGTACATATGTTAGCCAGGGATGGTAAAACATAGCTATTAGACAGATTGCTTTGATGATGTTACTTCTGCAACCAAAGATTAGATTCATTCAGTCAGTGACATATTTAGGGGGTGGGGATACATGTTTGAGTATAGATCTCTAATATTACAATCAATGCAACTGATTTGTGATTTTTCTGTTTGTATATTGGCCAGGGTTTCTAAATATATATCCCTTTTCGGCCTGGCTATCTAAAAAGTGGAAAATAATTGGGTTTTTTGAAAGATGCTACATGTAAATTTTGTACATTTTTCATGACATGGCAGTAAAAAATTATATTTTTGAAAAAAAATCCAGCTTATGAGTGTTTTCTGTGTAATTTGTTTGTACCTTGTCTAATTTTTTCACAGAACTCAAATACTGCCTTTAATAAGAGAGATTTTTAAATTTTAGCACAAAAGGCCCATGGACCTGAGATGCACTACTGTACATAAAGCGGCATGTATACTTAAAGGGCCATCATTTTTGCAGTTATTCTTTGATTTTGATTTCCTTTCACCGGTATGTTACCAGAACATATGGGAAGCATATAAAAAAGACTTTTTGGTGATACCTGAAGTTTCACCCATATATAGGACACAGCTCACCAAATATTTCTACGCCGTCACCCACGAATGTAGGGCGAAAGTTATTTTTAGTCTTTCTCTCCCTTTCCCTTTTTCCCCCTTTTGCATGGCGATTTTTGTTGACTTTTTAATGTAGAATCGAAGAAAAGAGTTTGAAAATACATTTTCTACCAGGTTTTGGTGAATATTCATGATTTTGAGGCGGAAGGATACAAGAGTTGAGAGGTTGGTTAGGTTGAAATGTAGGGTCCAAAATTGCATGTTTTCTTGTCTCTACTTCCAGCTTGTGTATCTCAAGTTTTTCATGGTGAACCTCATACGTGCTTTTGGGCAAGAGGTTGCCACATGTTGCTCCATCTGTGGTAGAAAGCGTTCTACCCAACGAAAATTTGGGAAAAAGTTAGAGCCGGTCTAAGAGACGAGAATTAACATTAAAGTCAATGGGCAAATGTTTAGTGATCTGTGGCCAAATGCCAGTTTTGGAGATGTTGGGGTTGCCGGCCAAAGGTTGTATCTGATAAGCGTTACAGCCTCCATTTCACACGAACAAAACTGTACTCCTACCACACTCTTTCTACCTATAAAGATATAATAAACAAAAAAGATCATTTTATTTTCTTGTCCATGGTTATCAAAGACACCTGTGAAATTTCAGAATGTTTACATAAATTATTCACTATCACTGAACTATGATAGAGAACTATAATTGTCTGAATTATATTTGGAGCTTTTCTAAGAATTAAATGTGTTCCAAAAACCATCAATATACTCATGTAGGCTAAGCTTACACATTGCTACATTTAATATTATTTTTAATCTTGAAAATTTAAATAATACTTGTGGATAACTTGGTTGAATCGCAACTTCTTACCCATTAAGTCAACAGCTACAATGTCAGTTAAATATTGACCATTACTACATGCATGGTCTTTTCTTCGTAAAACTGTTTTATCAAGGGGAAATGGTAAAAAAAACTTGCCCTGAAAAAAATAGAACATACTACTATATTAAAGGGCAGGATTATCAATGGATTAGAATTTTTAAAACATATTTCTAGGCCAAATAATACGCTCGTTACACCCCCTCAATAGGACCCAACTATACCTCGGAAATCGACTGAAACAAAATAACATGTTTACTTAATACATTATACTTACATTCCATATATGTGGAGAGTGGAATACCACTTGCTGGTGTTGAGTGATAACACAGGATTTACAAAAGTGAGCCATTGGCCCACAATCATCGCATTTTATAATGTTCTCCTCTTGTCGTCCACAGAAATCACAAACCAGAGTCATGGGAGAGAATTCTTCAATTCTGGTATCTAAAAGTTGATAACGGATACGCTCCCATGACTCCACAAACTTCTTTTTCTTCTCATGATAAGAAACTATAATACAATAATTCAAAGTATAAGCTGAATGATAACTGGATTCCCCACCACACCCTACCACCAATCTGTGAATAAATTCCACTCTATACTCTAGTGTAAATATGATAATTGGGTCATTGCACATTTTAATGCAGATCTCTTTTCTGGAATAAACAGTTCATAAATTTAAAACTGCACTTCATCATATATATATATATATTCGGATCTTTGTGGTTCTAAAGATTAAGATCAACGAAATGTAAAATGTTATTGGCCAAGAAATGTCATGGATTTGAAATTGAAAAGCAATAGGAAGAGAATTAGTAGTCTAACTCCATAATCATTACGATGACTACAAAGAGTTGTCTTTCTTGCTTTTATGGTCGTTTTACGGTCACGTCTAAATTCCTGCAGATTTCGTCATGGTCGCGAGATGTAAATAGGGTTAGGGCTCGTGATTTCTGCGAGATTGTGGGTTAGGGTCGGGTAAGGGTTAAGATTAGAGCTATCCCTGTTTAGATCTCGTGACTCGTAGCCTATAACTATAACGAAGGTGGCCTTAATATTAATAATTTTAATCATAAACTTATAAAGACCTATCCCCACTTACTTAGTTACTATTATATTATTAGGCCTACTACTAGTCCTTTTTTCTCAGAACTATTATATTACAGAGTAAATTTTAGGGAATATTAATCATCCACACATATGATAAAACCATTAAAAAAAATATGTGCTGTTTTAAGCAAAATACGGGTTGTTTTGGGCAAATCAAGTTGTTTTGGGGGTATTTGGAGACCTGTATTTATTCAATTGGGTAAATTCTATATTGATCGAAATACAGACAGTCTGAGACAGTCACAGACCCTGCAATGTGGGCTGTGGCACAGACAACAATGGGGTAATTCGTCACACAAGTATAACACGATTCGCTAGGCCTATAGTATTATTATTATTAGTAATTTGGATCATCTTCACTCGCCATTTTCATGCTGGGTGTGTGGTTCGCTTTCTTTTAGTTCTTGCTGATCTATTATGCCTATATCTGGGCCAGGTAAGCTAGCACTTGAAGTTGAGCAATCTTCAAACGTTGAGACCTTAATTAACTTAGATTTTTTCCGGCCGTTCTCAAACGATATACATCTTATTGTAGGTGTCTGGCGGTTTGGCTTTGTCATAGGCATCTTCGCAATCCAGAATGACGTCAAATGGGGTTTCCCACAGTGGGGTTTCCAAAAGGAAAGTCACGTGACCCATTCGTCATTTTTATAAATACTACACCGCTCCTTTCAATTTTAGGCTAACGACAATCAGTAACTATTCTAATCATATAATCTATATGTTTAGGCCTATATCCGTTAACACTGTTCCTAAACTAGGCTAGTCGTCAGACTAAACTGGAAGGTGGTTGTCGTATTACAACATTTGGTAAACGGCGGTGCACATCCCGTCACGTGACTTGATGCCCCCAACCCCTGCACGTATGCACCTAAAAATGAGCAAACAGTATATTACCGATTTTATAAAAATTCCCAGCTAAACTCCCAGACCTCCCGCCAAACTTGACGCTATTTCCACCGCGGACAGCCCCATACCCCTCCCCCGTCGACGCTTCCCATTCCTATGCTCAAATTCCTGGACACGCCCTTTTAGTTAGTTTTATCAGACAGTAGGCTAGTAGGCCTTTAATCAGTCTTCTTTTTATTATTATTATAATTATTATCATTGAAGTCGTAGCCTCTGGTATTATCAGTAGGCCTGTTATCAGTCTTCTCCTTGTTGTTGTTGTTCTTCTTCTTCTTGATGCCCCCAACCCCTGCGCGTATGCACCTAAAAATGAGCAAACAATATATTACCGATTTTATAAAAATTCCCAGCTAAACTCCCAGACCTCCCGCCAAACTTGACGCTATTTCCACCGCGGACAGCCCCATACCCCTCCCCTGTCGACCCTTCCCATTCCTATGCTCAAATTCCTGGACACGCCCTTTTAATTAGTTTTATCAGACAGTAGGCTAGTAGGCCTTTAATCAGTCTTCTTTTTATTATTATTATAATTATTATCATTGAAGTCGTATCCTCTGGTATTATCAGTAGGCCTGTTATCAGTCTTCTCCTTGTTGTTGTTCTTCTTCTGCTTCTTCGCCTTCTTCTTCATCTTATTATTATTATTATTATCATTATCATTATCAGAGCCGTAGCCTATAATAATGACGTAATAACTATAACTCCCCTTTGATTGGCTGTAACTTTCTCAAGTGAAATTCAATAACCCCTCTTCAAGAGTAATAAATTATAATTTAAGTTATGAATTATTAACTTGGCCCCTTTGAACAGCAATAATTTAATAGAACAACCTTCTATTGAAGCAAGGCGAATCGGGTGGTATCTCACAATAAAGCTGCATTCCCTTAGTACGGATCCGGTCCAGTTGCGGATACGGAAAAAAACCACTTTCATAGAATTTCAGTAAGAAGAGTGTTTCCTTATGTGCGGGTGGGGATACCGTTCTGTATCCGGCGTCCGGTACGGTATTTCGAAACGGACCATGTAGCGTTCGGTACGGAAACGCATGCTGATTGCGTTTCCGTGTCCGTAAGTAAGGAAACGCAGTTTGGGTAGCCCGCACGGCAAAAAGCTAAAAATAGGTAGGGAAATTCCAATTTTCGCCCTTTCTTGGACACGTGTTCATGGAATCAGAAAAAGAAAAGATAGAAATCCGCTTGAATAACCGCATAAGGATACACAGCCTGTCGTGTGCCATGTCTGCTCCTGGACCGGAGCCGGACTAAAGGAAATGCAGCTTAATAATTGAGAATATTCGACACACAACGGCCCTTGTGATATTATAGAAACTGGCCTAACAGTAACAGGGTTATTTCTTTACATTAGGAAATCAAATACCATTTTAAAAAATGCATTGAATGAATGACCCACTAACAAGCCTATCTTATTATTGGCATGTTCGAGTATACAACTTGACACAACCAAGCCTATTTCTAGGAGAGAGAAATGGGGGTTTAACGTCCACTCGACACAAACTAGGTCATTTCGGGACTAACATATGGTTCAATTTTATTTCAATAATTCGCTTGCGCGTAGGAGTCTTTAGACCCGGAGAAAACCCACGAGGTTGGACAGGTGACCCTACTCCTTGCCACCATAGATAATACCGTGTACGATCTATTTGCCACGTACAACCGGGGATTCGAAACCACGCAGTTGACTCAATGATACAGCACTCACGTGCTAACCATCCCCCCCCCCCCTCCCTATTTCTAGGAGGATAGTAATTTAATTAGTAGCCTAGATAGGCTTATATAATAATTAATATAGATCTAGGCCTAATTAATTTTAAGTAAGTTAAAGTAGCCTATGCTATTCCGATTCGGTGGATTATATTTAGTGGGCCTCTTTTTCTAAAAGCGCCTGTATCGGTGGCATGTGTGTAAACAAAGGATACAATTAGTAGGCTAATCCATGCATGACAATTCGGTAAAACCTAGATTTATACTACAAGAAGGATTAGATTAAGATACTTTAGGCCTAGACTCTACCTTGATCATGACTTTTACTTTTACTATTAGAAGTCAAACTCGGATCCTCCTCCTGGAGAACCGGAGCTACGATTTGATTCTGACCACAATTTGTTCTTCGAAGTAGCTGGTACTTTACCGTCCTACTGGTTACTCCCAAACGTTTTATCTTCTTAGGATTTTTATATCTTAGACGATTCATTGTTTAAAATACGGTATTTAAAAAATTACCCGCCAAAATAAAATATATATAGTCCAGGCCAACACGTCATCTTTTCAGGAACCCCCAACGCTAGCAAGGTCAGATCTCAATTAGGCCTATGCTGCATTTTTTTTTCATAGCCCGTCAATGTTGAATCCACTTGTCAATTTTTGTTTACTTTTTATTAGGGCCAATTGGGTTTGATTTATTTTATACGGATTTTTCTTTTATAATAGGAGAGGTATTTTTCATAAGCGGTATAGCTTGACAACCGAGACTAGGATGTACTTGATTACCGATATTCGATCACGTTCTTTTGCAACCTACCCCGCCCAAAATCCTGGCCCCTGCATCGGATAAGGTGCTGTGTCATTTCATGCATCTTACCCTCATCTATAACCCCTACAGACATACGTATTAAAATGGAATACAGCCATATAATAAGCTATGTCCCCAAATTATAATAATGGTAAAACGAGGCGAAGGATAAAAAAACCCCAAAACTTAACCGTGCAGTGAGGAAATTATGAAGCTTATTTAATATTTGATGCAACATTAAAGACTATTCCATTCTTGTGTAGCATTTGTACATCGGTTAGCTTACATAAATGTCTCAATTATAGGCAAAACGTTAGGCCTACCAGTGGCGTAGGTCTGCCTACGTATAATTTTCAAAAAAGGGGTGGGCAGAATCGATTTTAATCCCCGCTGCAAACAGAACCAACAGCATTATTTTGATTGATTAAAACAGTTACTTTGTAAAAAGAAAGGGAATAAAATATCGACAGTCAAATTAAAGAAAGTGGGCGTGCCCCCCCCCCCCCACCACACACACATACACCCAATCCCGCCGAAGACAGTCTAAAAATACACCAACTTAGGCCTATTATCTTAATACTTATGTCCGATTTGACCTTGCAACTGACAAATCTGATTGGCTAATAATACATGTACATAGGGCTATGGTATTATTATTCTACCCTACTCAATAGACCAACCTCAATAATATATATTATTATATTATAATATAACGCCTATTCAACCGGGTGGAACTGAATCATAGAGGCTTATTGAATAGGGTATACCTCAGTTGCATCGGGTGCTGTGTGATGCAGGACGAAGGGGCTGACAAGGAAAGCTGTCTAGTCGTTCGGATGGGACGAAAAACCGAGGTCCCGTGTACACATTGGCGTGCACGTAAAAGATCCCTTGGCAGTTGGAATTCGATACAAGAGTAGGCCGTAGTGCCGCTGTCCGGGCAAAATTTCCCTCATAGCACACTGTATGGCGTATGCCCGTCTTCATTAGCCCAGGTTAGGAGCAGAACAGTAGGACGTTAAACTCCATTTCATTTCATTTCATTTGCATCGGGTGCTGTATCATACGGTCTGTCATTGAGTCAGCTGGCGGGGTTTCGATTCCCCGGTTGTATGTGACAAGGAGTAGGGTCGCCTGTCCAACCTCGTGGGTTTTCTCCGGGTCCTCCGGTTTCCTCCCACTGCTAAAGACCCCTACGCGCAAGCGAATTATTGAAATAAAATTAAACCATTATGTTAGTCCCGAAATGACCTAGTTTGTGTCGAGTGGATGTTAAACCCCATCTCTCTCTCTCTCTCTCTCATATATGTGGACGTACTGCGTTGTTGGGAAGTCAGTCTACTATGTGCAATAATATCAATTACTTATATCATTATAATATAACAAAATACAATTTAGAACACAAGTCATTGTTAAATATTGTAGATAAAATAGAATGGAAAATGAACATGCACGATACAATGTATACGCGTATAGCGTGCCCCTATACGCGTATAGTCCGATGTAAACCGCTAAGCAAATTCCTGTTGTTCGAACACAAGTATTCGCGTATACCTCTAAACGAATACCGTATACCCCTATGTAATAGCAGCTTAACGCATCGCACGACAGTGGGAACCTGGCATAAAATACTGGAAGACTTCCTGGCTTTTACAGGTTGTACCTGGCTTTTACAAAAAATTATCGGCCTACCCTGCTTTATTGTTAAAATTATATATTTAACCAACAACATGCATATATACATAGTGACATAGACATACCGGTCGGCGTTTTGAGTATGACTGTTATTAGTGTTATACTGTCCAACCTCGTGGGTTTTCTCCGGGTCCTGCGGCCCCTCCCCCCCCCCCACTGCTGAAGACCCCTACGCGTACGTAAGCGAATTATTGAAATAAAATTGAACCATGTGTTAGTCCCGAATTGGCCTAGTTTGTGTTGAGTCTTCAATTAGCTCCGCCAAACAACAGACTAGATAGTTGGATATTTTAAAACGGGATCTAGTGACATTTATTTTTGAGCTAGCATGTAGCATGGGTGACTTTACTTTTTGTGGGAGGGTGGAGTGGGGACTGTTGCTGTTTCTCCCTTTATTATTATATGGTACATGTCCAATTTTTATTATCAATATCACCGCGGATAGTCTGTGTTGAACCTCAATTTATGTGCACCATAACCATTTATTTTTATGGCATGTGTATACATTTTTATTATCAATATCACCGCGGATAGTCTGTGTTGAACCTCAATTTATGTGCACCATAACCATTTATTTTTATGGCATGTGTATACATTTACAATTTCACTCTTATACATGTGTACCAAACAAATGATTTATCACTGTTCAAGATTACCGTCGTCGATGTGTTTAGGCTTTTTGGCCTGAAAGCGTGACATCGCAATCGTCGCTTGGTTCTTTCTCACCTGTTCCATCCGTGTGCTGGTACGGACGGACCGTCGACTTCCGACTGGTTCTCGAATTAATCGGGAGTAAGAATCGGATGTCCCACTGGGTTTCCAGTGCATGCATCATTTTATCAAGGAAGTATTGTCCCAGTATACGAATTTCCGTATATAATTGTTAAAACGGATTTCAATCAATCAAAATGGCATACGTATTATAATAGGTTTTACATAAGATTCAACGTAAATTGACCACGATAACTAATCTGTGTTGTGCTTGTGAGTCTTATTTGTGTTCGTTATTGTAGCTTTGGCAGTTGCACGCCATCTATATTAATTGTTTCTTTCTGATCGCTGATTGGCTTTCCTTGTCGCCGAGATCAAACTGTTTCGATGGGTTGTGGCTTAAACGATGTAATTGCTGAATGTTATCACACGCGTGGGCTTGAGGTCTCTATTGATATAAATACACACTAATAATACAGCTACTTACCAGTTACTTCCTTGACGTTGTGCTCAACAACATCAATAATTTGACAAGAAAGGCAGGACATAGTGAATCCACTGGAAGATTGTCAGAATTTCGAACACAATTTTCATTGGGCAGTACCGTAAAACGTCAGACTTTACGCAACTGTGTTAAACTTTTAGAGGGGAAAAGGTCGGCGATCAAAATTTACTACAAAAAGTTTTTATTCTTCTAACGATACCTTTTAAAAAAACCTCACTCGATATGGCTGCCTTCTATTTGCAACTTTTTTGTGTCGCTACGCTAACGCTGATTTTAGTACCAGCACAAGGACAATCATATAGCGAGTGTGACCAATTCTGCAAAACCGTCTCCAAAAGTAACAAAGAACTTGAATACTGTGTTTTCTACATTTGCAAAAGGGCATACTTTCATAAAGTTACACGATTTGGCAAAAGGAATGTTCAAAACGAAGATGCAAAAAGTAATCTGATGTCTTTACCGAATGGAAAATTCTTCAATAGCCTTTTCAGGCGGGTTTCTGAAGATGCCAATTAAAAGACCTTTTCGAAGTACCGTAAGTACATTTTCTATTTTGTTCATATTAACTGCACAATGTTGTTCTCAAAACCGGTTTATAGATATATTTCATGTTCAAATCCGATTTTAAACACTAAACCATTGATTACAATTAGTCTAAACTATGCTCATGGATAGAAATGAACCCTACGCGTTCCGTGACGATGAAGATGTGGTATGATGCCAATATTGTGGGATTACAATCTTTTTACCTTGAAAATTTTACATCTAAAGCCGAAACCAGTGCTGTGATATATCCAGTTTTGTGCTTGTTGTTGTCGTTACACTAAGCCAAGAATAAGATTAAAATTAGTAAACAAGCCGATTTCCGCTTACTTTTTTCAAAACAAGCATTTAAGTATATATAGTTCGCCCAAATACTAAACGAAATAACATATCAAATCAACCCAGTATATACTTTGACTAAAACCAAAGAGCTCTCGTTCCTTTAACATACCGTTTTATATAGTTATGGTTGTAAGTAAAATTTATTCCGATAACTGAAATTTAATCCAACTATATGTATATCTTCTTTCAACAAAAAAGGTTCTGTTTGAAATTTTATTATGATATATCTGATATGTTAATAATAAAAACGACATTTTGTAATCATGACACGCGGTTAGTAGCAAAATGGTGACATTTGAGAGGGGACGCGTGTCATTGCGTTCCTTCGCTAAGCTCATGGTATATTACTAAATACCACCCTATCGTGATTAGCTTATTCCGTTCTAGAAGATTTATTTTATAATTTAAAACTTATCCATTTGGAGTATGATGAAAAAGACCGAGGGCTAATGGTGTCGCGTCAAAAATCTCAACCTGGTGATCATGATAAATGAACCCTAGTGGCGAAAGAGTTTAATAACCCTCGGTTATCAAGTACAGTTTGTAATTTAGTTCCATCTTATTCATTTTAAAATCATTATAAAAGTTCATAAAAAAATCATTTACGCTTTCTGTTAAATTAACGACATACACGAATGACTAGTCGCTTTTACTCCATTAAAGCGGCCGTCAAAAATTACGAAAAGTATATTAAAAAGTAAAACATTTAAATATTTGGCTACAATTCTGTTAAACAATACTTGTTCAAAATTTATCAAGCTATGATACTTCATTTGATTTACCATTTATGGTACTGTTACATCAGTTAAATTTTCCATAATTTTAGGTCCCCACTGTCGTGCGATGCGTTACGATAGGATTATCCCTATTATGATACGACCTGATAGGATCCCCACGATCACCCCACAGAGAAAACCACGTTTTCAGTCGTGATAGTGGGAACCTAGCACTAGACGCGCTAGATCCCGACATTTGTACGATTTCTCTGTTGGAAGTTTTGTCCTAAATAATCCCACATATCGTTACCACTGAAAATTTTAGAAAAGTCGACATGGCTATTGTGTCGATTGTACAGTACATTTAGAGTTTATTAAAGTAACTAATGCCTATGAAATGAAATGGAGTCTAACGTCTTACTGTTCTGCTCCGAACTGGGCTAATGAAGACGGGCATACGCCATACAGTGTGCTATGAGAAATTTTGCCCGGACAGCGGCACTACGGCCTACTCTTATATCGAATTCCAACTGTCAAGGGATCTTTTACGTGCACGCCAATGTGTACACAGTTCCTCGTCCCATCCGAACACAATTTTGCCCGGACAGCGGCACTACGGCCTACTCTTATATCGAATTCCAACTGTCAAGGGATCTTTTACGTACACGCCAGTGTGTACAGAAGACCTCGGTTTTTCGTCCCATCCGAACGACTAGACAGCTGTCCTTGCCAGGCCCTCCGTCCTGTATCACTGACAAAAGGGGAACAACTCTGGAAAATCTGGATGAACTTTCTCGGCCAATGCAGGGATCGAACACCCGACCTCCAACAAGCCAGCGTCTTACCCACCGTAATCCCCCTAATGCCTATGGTACAATCCCATACATGAAACAGTTACATAGGAACAGTCAACCGATATACATATTAACACAATCAACCGTTTACCAATTGGTTCAGACTGTAGTATCCAACCGTACATTATTGCATTCATTGAATTCGCTGGTTTTCATGTTGTTTGGGATTAAATCAACAAACAGCAATAAAATCAGAAAATACGTTCAAACCTGGAAATGACATTGACAACGCCATAATTTTAACCAGAAACTAGTTACGACCGGTCATAAAATTTTCTGAAAACCAGTGAACCCGAAAGCAGGCACAAACGAACTATACCCTTACAAATTTGACTAATAACAAGATTATAATAATATGCTAAAGGAATATGGAAGCTATAACGCTGAATAGCTAAGCCGTCGCCAAGGTTGGAGATAATGCTCTGTAATGGTAATTGAACAAGCTTTTGAACAATTTTTATACGTGTTAAAATTATTTTTTAGCTCTGAATCGTCAATGGTTTTAAAAAAAAAACTGGCAGAAAAGGTTTAAACAGGCATTATGCAAGAACTAAATCTGCCTATTGCAGGTCTTTCTTTAGGTCTTAAATGTTATATAAATTATTAATTAGACATTAATTAACATGACACTGTATGGCGTATGCCCGTCTTCATTAGCCCAGTTCGAAGCAGAACAGTAGGACGTTAAACCCCATTTCATTTGTATCTTTCTCACCGTGTCTGAGTCTTGAAAATGCATCATACACTTCGGACTGTCCAAGCTTTAGAAACTTAAGGCCAAATGTTTTTCTTAGCACAACCAGCGGTTGCCAGGCAAGATACGCTTACATTTGGCAAGTGATCGATAGTGAACAAAATAAAAAATAAAAGCGATTTTTCGTACAACCAGGGGCCTCAATCCATAAATTTATGGTCTGAAATGCGCAAATATCAAGAGGAACTGAGATCTTTGAAATATAAAGATATATTTTAAGTTTCATTAAAATCGGATAAAAATTGAGACCTCTAGAGCGGCCATTTTGTCGTACAGTTTCATTTCGATTTTCCCGAAATTCGAATTCGACCTTCATTATGGTGGAATGATGATATATTTAAACGGTTTTTAAAATCGGATAAAAATTGTGATCTCTAGGGAATCCACAAGCTTAAAATGTGATTTTTCGAACAATCAGGGGACATAATCCAGGAAGTTACGTTCGGATATGCGTAATTATCAAAAGGAGCAAAGATCTTTGTGATATAAACATGAATTTGAAGTTTTTATCAAAATCGGATAAAAATTGTAGCCTCTAGAGGGTCCACAACCTTGATATACCAGATGCTAACACTATTTTCGTACGAGGGGCGGCCATTTGGTCCGGCAGTTTTGTTCCGATTTTCACGAAATTGAACCGACATTACGGTGTAACGGTGATATATATACAAACGGTTTTTAAATCGGATAATAATTGTTACCTCTAGAGGGACCACAATCTTGATATAGCATATTGCGTACAAGGGGCGGCCAATTTGTCCGGCAGTTTTGGTCCGATTTCCACGAAATTCGAACTCAACCATCATAAGGTTGTAACGGTGATATACTATAACATTCTTTTAAATCCGATAAAAATTGTGACCTCTATGGGGACCGAATGCTCAAAATGCGATTTTTTGTACAATCCAGGGCCATAATTCAGGAAGTTACGATCCGATATGCGCGAATATCGACAGGAACCAAGATCTTTGGGTAATAAACATGCATTTCAGGTTTCATCAACATCGGGTGACAATTGTGACCTCTAGAATGTCCACAAGCTAAACACGTGATTTTTCGTACAATCAGTACCCATAATCCATGAAGTTATGGCCCGATACATGCCAATATCGAATGGAACCGAGATCTTTGGGAGATAGATCTATATTTCAAGTTTCGTTAAAATCGGATAAAAATTGTGACCTGTAAAGTGTCCACAAACAAATTGTGAACGGACGGACAGCAAAATTTGGGCGTATAAAAATAAAGATTTATTTTAGGTATAAATATACATATTCGGTAGTTTGGTTTTGTTTTTTTATGGCCGTTTTAACTAAAACTTATATCCATTTCGTCTTTTTTATCCGATCGAATTCCGACAAGAAGACTATCTACTGGTAATATTTTGATTCTGGTTCTCTATTAATTGTTAAATAATCAATTTGGGTACATTTTAGCGTGTATTAAGCCGTGTAAAATTTGATATTTTCCGAAAAATGAAAACGACGTACAGGGAGGCTTTAAGTATAAAGCTTAATAAATTCCCACATTAAAAGAAATGAAATGAAATGAAATGGGGTTTAACGTCCTACTCTTCTGCACCTAACCTGGGCTAATTGAAGACCACATTAAAAGAGAGGTATAAAGTAATCTATACTGATGTCGTGTATTGTTTGTTCTATCTTTTCTTCAATATCTTCTCTGCCTTTGCCAGAAATGAAACACACATACTTTGTTATTTTCCTTCATTGTCTCGGGTATTCACGTTTTTCAAATATATAAAATATACAACATATTATCATATAAAAAATGTGCTTCTTGTTAGGGGTTGTCTAGAAGAAATTAAGACATTTAGACACTCACATTTGGTCGTGGACCTACCAATCAGATGTCTTATTGCGTATAGTTACTTTTAAAAGTTTTGCCCTTTTTTAAATAAGTGTGCAACCCCCGAGCTCGTGGCATAGCAATTAGTACAAATAGCCACCTAACCTCAAGCTGTAGGACATAATGTATAGTCAATAAAGTCCACCCTCACTACGGAAACACAATTCCTATAATTGCACGATTTTAATGTCGTCGGAACTAACATAAATACATGGCTAGAAGGTGTCTATTATCTTTTAGATTGCTGTGAGATCAGTCTGTGGGGATATACAGACAACACATGCTTACCGAATGCAACAGAATAACAAAACACGAACTCCTCAAATAAGATATTTAATTGCCATGTTTTTTTAATTGGGACATAATTTGAATGTTTACATCGGATTCGATATAACCTTTACAGACACAATTCACCCACCCGTCCTTCGTTTAGAAGCCTCGTTACCACCCTCAATTAGCGTGGGTTGTCTTAATAATGTCAAATTTCGAATTTGGAACGCTTTTCGCGGTGTTATTTTGCGGTTGAGAGTTTGTGAATGATACACAGTTCACATTTGCAATTTGCATATTTAAAACCCGACAGAAGATGTACACGATAAAAGGATAAGTTGTGTAAGAGTATAAGACATTTAGGGAAACGGACGTGGATGTGGTCCTTTAATTTAATATAGTGTGCGTTTAATATATGCACTTGATAACTTGTCTCGTTGCGTTAATAGCATAATACATGCATGTACTTGATAAGTATACGTCAATTGCTTTGAAACTTGTTCAATGTATTTACGTGATACAAGGGACCGTCGCAAAATTTCAACACTTGCGTACAAATGACACCGCATTAAAATCCATCTGTGTCAACATTTCTTACTCCTTCGGCGCGAATGGGCAATTGGGTGGGCGGATCGAGATCTATCCGCGGATTATTCGTTGTGGACGTTGGTGTTGAAATTTTGTGACGGTCCCTAAATACAGTTCTCAATCTGGTTAAAACATAGATCCTATTTCGTTTCGTTTTTATAGTTCAAAATTTCGTTTTACTTGTCTGTACTACACTTGGATCTGGAAGAGTTGTTATTTAACTGTTACGGCGAGCTTTAGGCGTGTTTTTCACGGAACTGTGGGTAATACACTAGTAACATCAATGCTGATTGGTTAATCAAATGTCTGACGTCATTGGGTCATAAGTCTGTCTTTTGACCCCTGACGTGACCTATCACTATAACTTGTCAGATCTTCATGTAGTGTAGGCCATCTAAAGTATAAAAAAACGAAACGAAATAAATAGAGGATATTTGTCGTTTTAGAGTGAATAACATATTTTATTTCATCGAGAAGCAAGACAACTTATATTTTCACGAATGCGTAGCATGAGTGAAAATATAAACGTTTTCTTGCTTAGAGATGAAATAAAATATGTTATTCACGACAAAACGACAAATGTTCTATTTATTTTATGATTTTACAATCATTTTAGGTAAAAACAACTAGCCAGTGGAATAACACTTTTATTTCACTGATAAAACGCGGTATTCCACTACTGATCATAAAATATAGATCTGTATTTTAATCAGATTGTACTAGTTCTATAAACATCCTCATTATATATTTGATGCCGGTGCTATTAATTTTGAGAAAGAGTGTACCAAATTGCGAAAAAATACTTTATATAAATCTCGTATCTATTGAATTGCCCACAGTATAATTTAGCCTAACGGTAATTTACAGTTTGTGAAAGCTTCTTATATGGAGTAAATTGCCATCTGTGGGGAACAATAATATAAATGATTACTTGTTACCAAACGTCGTATCTAGTTAGTTCTTGATGAACGGTAATTAATGCCAAATTAACAACTATACAGAATACATGATAAACTAACTCCACAATGACCCTTTTTAGTTGACAATGAATTTCTCATCATGACCATTTCGCCCATAAAAAAAAACAATACTGCGGTATCGGTTCTTCTTTAAAAAGAAAAATACCGTGTTCTCTCTACTAATGTTTAGCCAGAGAATAGAGACGGGGTCAAGGTCCGAATTTAATTAATTTGATTCAGTTTAATAACGTCTTAAACAGGCATTATGCAAGACTAAATCTGCTTATTGCAGGTCTTTATTTAGGCCTTAAATGTTATATAAACTATTTTAGTAGTTAGACATTTATTAACATGACAAGACCATAATCAACTCTTGATAGGTTCGATTTTCAACAGATTTGAATCCGATGTGCGATTCAACTACGGTTGTTGATTAACCGTAAAACGGATAATCGAGACTTTGTTTATTATCATACTAACGGTAGTAATGGCGATCGAGGCTAGGTCATAATTATATCGCTAATATCTAGGTTCAAGAGTGAAGAAATTTTACTGAAATGCTCAGCATAATAATATACCCGTTACATTATCTACTTTTTAAATTATAGCGAGAACTGTCAGCTCTTTATCTAATCTTCCATAACGCCGCTTTAATTTTCACCACGTTGGAAATCAATTCAAATACTTTATAAGATTTTGATAGATATTATTTCTAAGACTCGTTAAACTACGCAATAATCATACATGTAGATATCCGTGCATTTGTCAGTTTAACAAAATCCCTAAAAGGTTAACCTTTATCATGAAATTTTACATCATAACCCACTTGACGTGATTCATGAATGTTACATATTATTCACGTATCACTTGATTATACATTCTCTTAAAAAAAGTTTTCAGTTGTCGCCGTTCGTCACCATTTGTCGGTAAAAAACTGCCACGCCATGATGGTTGGATCACACCAGGTGAAGCCTGCTGCTTCGACCAATGCGCAGACATCCCGCAAATAGCCTTGATTGACTAGACGCTTAACAGACAAAAAAAATGTAGACTACACGGGTTCGTTACATCAAATTCGTACCAGATAACTAAACTCAAACATAACATAAACTATTATTAAGACACTTATTTGTATTGCAATACTATAATCAATTGGCCGTGATATTAGATGGATTAGAACACCTGCGGCATTTAATAATTTGACGTTAAAATGGAAAATCGAGACTTTGTTCATTATCTAAATCTTACATAAGGTCCAATTTGTCTTTATCGCACATACATCATGCCATAATATTTCTGCTGGTCTCTCTCAGCGGGTGAAGACTGCATTATTGTTGCATCAGGAAATTATGGGATCAATTTTAAATCCAGTTCCTTCAATATAATGGCCAGTTTTTATATTAAACTACGAATTCAAATCAATTTTATCCATTAATAAAATTTTGACGATGGGAAAGATTTTTTTATTACCCAGAAATAGAAAATCAAGAAAAAGAATCGAAAAAATTGTTATCTTATAAAACCTATCGATTTACTTTGAGCTTTCAATTTATGGAATGGGTACAATCGAATCTTGGCTACCGTAATGTCAAACTAAATGACTGACAGAAATTTGCCAGGCATTTTACTGGCAACTTTCTGTCCGTCATTTTCCTGTAAAAAATACACAAATAAGTTTAGCAGTGTATACAGAACTGAATCACGACATCCTGATCGGAGACGATGTGCATTATAGAAGACAATTTGTCAACTTCATAGGTGTTTATCACATTTGTATAAGTTAATAGATAAAGAGAGCAACGATTCTGCGAAAAACACGATGGTTATTCGGGAAAGTTTGTACTCATACAAGCCCACTCCAGTAATTTACCATTCCAATTATTCCTACCATTCAGAGAGTTTCCACGGCCAATGACAGTGACGTCAATAATTCCGTGATAACTACCGCATGTAGATTCATTTTATTCTCGCAGATGTTCTCAAACGAATTAGTGTGCTTAAAAACCAACTACATTATATTTTATAATATAATATAAATGTATTGAGCTTTTAATGCATGACAACTTTATCGAGTTTAATCCAAAAACACATCAGTGGATCCGGACTACTTTGTATCATCTAATTATCCCAGCAAGTGTCATTTATGGGTCCCCGTTGCTAATTTGCGTAATAGCTCTACGTGTTATATCACAAACAGAGCAATAACCATGAACAATTGTAACGGAAAAAGAAATGATTACGATATCTCGTGATAACTACAATTAAAAATAGTATACTTCGAAGAATTGTTTTTACGTCGGTAGAAAGTGTCATTATATAAATAACTGTCACCTCCCGAGGTTCTTTTCTCCGTCAATCTTATGTGAGACGCAGCATCACCTATGGGTTTTTTAGCAGAGGCAGGATACCGGGGACATTCTGGGTCTGTTTTAAGGGGAAACTGAAAGAAATGTCAAATATATATAATATATATTATATTAGTTTTAAGCGAAATTAGTGTAGCATTTTGAGCTTGGCTTGACCAAACTCTCACTATATACGGCTCTGGCCGGGGGATGGGCAAAGCGACACTACTCTTAGCTTCGGGACGAAATCACACCCCTTGACTCAATTACAGACATTATGATGTACAGTGCACATGTTAAACGACTCGTTTGCCCAATCCCAGCTATGGAAGAAATCAGACATTCCAATATAAGGACACTAAATTTATACGGCTTTATGTTTGCGATTTTTCGTTATCGCGTTTTTCTGCACTGCGACATACTGGTATACACAGAAATTATATCTTATGCAAGAACACAATAGACTGGAACATAGCTATAGTCCGTATTGTCATTTGACGATGTTCATGTTATGTAAAAAAAACAAAGCCTTGAAAAAATCGAGATGCCTGTGGGCAATAAAATCAATCAACACATGACTATTTACGTTGGCTTTTATTATTATGGTGATTAACTGAATATTTTCTTTTATATCTTTCAGAATCTTATAAGACCATATCAACATTATTTGGAAATACGATACCATTCATCTTGAACAGTTTATCAAAGAACTATATTTGGAATTTCGGATTTCCCAAAGCTATACCCTATCCATCGGGAGCAACCATATTCACTGCCATCCATTTTTGTGTATTTTCAACTTCACCAACTGAGATTAGTTTTTCACACTCCTGACTTTACCCGGAAGCATTCTGCATTATTGTGATCATTATCCAACCCATAGGGACATCCAGTAAACCATGTTTATGGATGATATAGTCAGTAATTACATATTAGAACTGATAGATTTTAACTTCGGTTTGGGACTAAAACTAAATTTAAGTTTTTATTTCATCATTTACTTATTGTATTTACAACCCAGCGTGAATATTCATTAAATGTATATCATAAAATAATTGTACTTTTAAAGACAAATCAGATACCGTATAAGTCGCTTGGTATGGTGCCCCGTTTGTCACGACATTCCCCAGTTCATTAATTTACGTAACCATTTTTCTGTCTGTGTTTATTAAAGGGAGAGGTATGGTATATTTAATGTTTGCACAGCTCTAATTTTAAATTGTTTGTGCATTTATAATGTTGCACCAATAAGAACCACTATTTTGACATATATATTTTAATCTCACAGTATTGTCCAAATCAAATGTATAGTATATATTGATAATGCACAAGTGAAATGAATTTGTCATAAAATGATTTTCAAAAATTGCTATCTTTGTTTTCTTTATCTATTTGGTCCTAATTAATACCCGTCCACTACAGTGGTTGACAGTGTTCTGAAAAGCATAAAGAATAAGAACGCTTACAGCAATTAAATTGAGATACAAAGTATAAGTGATTTTTAACTGGACAAATGTCTTCACGGAAAATTTGCAGATACGATAGTCGAGTGGTGGGGAAAATGGACACAGAACTAGAATATTCCGGCTTCCAGATGTGGCCGCGAATAACTTTTATAAGATTTTTCCAGCTCTGTGCCCATAAGGATTGACAGTGAAAGTCGGTATTATATTCGCCAGTTGCTACATTCACCAAACTATTCGACCATGGTAATTAAACTCGTTGCCACTTTTACCTGGTATTTAAAACGTTTTCGGTTGCTATTGCTCTTTCTTTTAAGGGTCCATGTCAGATATATTTTAGCAAATGAGAAAGTTTAGACCCTAGGCCCGTTACAAGAAAGACAGATGCAATAGTGTTTAAGTAACCATGATTAAAATATAGATGAACAGTCATTTCTGGCCTGGGTTATTGTTTATATTTACTACAACTAGTCGCTTACGCAAGGTCTGTGTTAGACTTTCCTGTATATTCACACAAAGTCAAAACCATACATTGTTTTAAGCGCGCTCTTTACTGCAGCTGTGATATGGTCGGAATACGCATCGATGTTGATAAAATTACATTATCGGCTGCATGTGCATTTTCCAGGTGGTCTAAATTATAAGTGCGGTCTTTGTATTACTTATTTGGTGAGCTTTCGGTCAATAACCCTTATAGGATTGTCGCATTTGTCGGGCCATGCTTTATTTACAGTTTAATGACGTTTGATTTGGAAACTTAGCCCTACTTGGTTCATTCCCATATCGCCGACCCACCGAGTTTTAGGGGGGAAATTTTGGTCGACGTTATGGGAATGAGTGGCCAAGAACAATAGACCCAAGCTGAAGGATAAACCTCATTAAGCAGATAATTTTGGGAGCATTTATTTTCTATTTTTTTTAAAATTTATAACAATCTTTAACACATAACATAACACAATTTTAAATTTTTGCACATTTAAAGTGTCCAACATAGTCCAAAAATTCTAATAAATTCAGTCTTCCTTGTTCATATCTATGCTTGGAATCTTCAATCTTCCTGTTGATATCGGTGTATTTTTTCTTTTTGGGTGGTTGTCGCTGGCCGCTTGCATACTGCAGTAACTGAATTTCAATCGTCTTTTGCTCTTCTTGCAAAAATGCCATCACTTCAAAAATATTAGGATGAGCTTTTCCAATTAATTTTTTTAGCCGTCCGTGCCATCCCTCTAATGAGTTGTTGGTTCTTCGTGTGGTTTGGTTGTGGTTCCATTGAATCTGTGTAAATTGGCCGTCTAACCATTGGGTAACCATATAGTCGGCCAGTTGTCTATATTTCTCATTATCTGGTACTTCGGCCATTATTTGAATCCATGCTTCGTCGATCTTAAAATAAAAGAAAGATACATTTATCACTAAGTCGTTATTCTTTCTCTTATTCACTCTATACTTAAAACCGCCAACACAAAGGTACCTGCCCCCTTTTGCTGTAGGAATACACTTAGATTGTAATAGCATTTTTTTTTTTTTTTTTTTTTTTTTTTTTATATGGATGGGTGGTATGGAATATGGTTCCTTAATGTAATGCCAAACCAGTACAACCCTAGAGCTATCCAGGCATGTTGAGGTTTAGAGTGTCTTAATATTAACTGGTTGATGATTTTAAGGTGAGAACATTGAATTTTTAAGTTTATGTCCAAAATGTTTAACCCACCTCTTTCCAAATCTAAAGTGAGCGTTCGACGTTTAATTAACTCTATATTATCTGGCCAAATGAATTTAAAAATTATTGTATTAATAATAGATTGATAATATTTATCAGGTGGGATTATATAACTGGTGTACCAGATTTTACTAAGAATGTACGTATTAAGTACCGTTACTTTTTCTTTAAGAGACAGATTTTTTGACCGTTCTTTAAAAAACTTCAGTTGACCTAACAAAGAATCAGTTAATTTTTTCCAGTTATGGTATTTAATATCTTTTCCAAAATAGATTCCTAAAACTTTAATACTGTCTTTAGGTATTAAGTCTGTTGTATTGTTGAAATAGTTTATTTTCAAGAGTTCAGTTTTGTTAATGTTTAGTCTTGATCCAGATATAGCCCCAAAGGATGTGATTTCCTCGACAGTTTGATTGATTGATGTTGAGTTAGTGATAATAGTTGTGATATTGTCTGCATGTTGGAACAATTTTGTATCTATTTTCATGTTTGGTATTTTAATTCCTGAGATGCATTTGTTTTGTATAAATAGATTCCTAAAACCTTAATACTGTCTTTAGGTATTAAGTCTGTTGTATTGTTGAAATAGTTTATTTTCAAGAGTTCAGTTTTGTTAATGTTTAGTCTTGATCCAGATATAGCCCCAAAGGATGTGATTTCCTCGACAGTTTGATTGATTGATGTTGAGTTAGTGATAATAGTTGTGATATCGTCTGCATGTTGGAACAATTTTGTATCTATTTTCATGTTTGGTATTTTAATTCCTGAGATGCATTTGTTTTGTATTATTCTTGATGCAAGCGGGTGTATTGCTATTGCATATAATAACATTACATTAGCCACCGTAAAGAAATGAATATGAAATGCCTTGGAATGATTTACGTATTTATAATTATTGAGAAATAATCACAATGAATTGAATTTCGATCACCTGTCAGCTTCATGTTGAACTACAGCCTATTATTTTATTAATTAATGAGTGAGTTGAATTGACAAAATTCAAGTTCATGTAATTTAAGTGAACTAAATACATTTTATTAATGTGAGTGAGTCGACTTCTGATAAAAATCAATTTCAGTGAACTATATTAATAATGACTGGTCCCTGCCCCATTAACGCTTTTAATCCGTTTTAATCCCATCAAAGGGTGCCGCGGTCGACTTTCCAAAACTCGGTGGGTCGGCGATATGGGAAGACCCCCCCCCCCCTACTTGTATCGAAAGATTATCTGTGAAATCTGGGATCTATTCTTTTCTTGAATATATACTGTTCGTATTAAAGTTAAAGTCAAGCCCTTTTAACTGAATTTAGATTGTCATTAAGTTGAAATAACAAAGGGTATTCATTCGTTATTCTTCCTAACTTAGGAATATGCAGGTCAAAAAAAGTGCACAACACAATACGGACACAACACAGGATATAAATACAATACAAGCACATGTCTATCTATAGTCAACGTACATATACCCAGCGCCAGACCAAAGACATATACAGTAACGGACAGAAACGTGTTTTATAAACAAATATATCTGCGGTTTCCTTTCAAGTACTTGGTGTCCCCGATTAAATGAACAAAATTCAGTAACCGGATGGTTTTGGATATAAATTATAAAGGCGTTGAAAATATGTTCATATTCAAAATCAAACCCGGGCAAGGCGACACTACTCTTAGCTTCGGGTCGCAATCACACCGCTTGACTCAATTACAGACATTATGATGTACAGCGCACACGTTGAACGACTCGTTTACCCAATCCCAGCTATGGAAGAAATCAGACATTCTAATATAAGGACACTAAATTTATACGGCTTTATGTTTGCGATTTTTCGTTATCGCGTTTTTCTGCACTGCGACATACTGGTACACATAGAAATTATATCTTATACAAGGACACAATCGACTGGAACATAGCGCCCAGTTTGTTGACAGAACCGATATATGTTCGGTCAACGTTATTTAATAGAATTAAATTGGAATTTTGAAGTAAATTATTCAGTTTATCTCTAGCATTATTACTAAAAGGGGAGCCCCAAATGGAGTGGTGACTGTTAAAATCTCCACATATAATAATATCTTTAGCTTTTATTTGATCATATATTTTATACGCTTCTTCCTCAATGATTTTACACGGATTATAAATGTTAACTACGCTCATATTTTGTTTGTCGGGTTGTAGCTAATCCGATTAACTCAACTTCACCAGAGTCTATTCTAATAAACTTATATGAGAGCTGTTCACTCACGAACATTGCAACACCTCCAGACCACCCTCCCTCCCTCGCTCCTCCCATGTCAGGTTAGGGCGATCTTTCCGCAAAAATGCGCACCCAATCAGTTTTGGGTCGTTCTCCTTTGGACCTAATTTTGTTTCCTGTATGCATATTATGTCAATTTTGGATTTACTTACAAGGTGATTCGGTTCTGTTATACGTGGTCTGAGAACATTAGTATTTATTTGCATTATGTTTAACTTATTGAATATACCGATGTAGGTTATTCGATTATTTTGATTGGGTTAGTTTAATTTGTATTAATAAGCCCGTTAGAATATTCGTTAGTATATTTTTTATTTATTTTGTCATTAGACTTGGGATTCTTCTTGCTTTTATGCACCTGTCCTTGGTTCGATGCAGTCTCGACATGAACAGACACGATCGTTATTCGTTTCGAATTTTTCCTTTTCAAGGCGGATTTGCTCTCCCTGGATTTGATTCGGCCGGTTGTTGAGCAATTGTTAGATATTTCCTTCTTTTTAGCCGCATGTGAGATGTAATCATCTGACTGGTCAGATAACATTTGATCTTCACAAACCTCAATATCCGATTCAGCTTTCTGAGTATTGTTATTTATTTACAGATGATTTTCAATAGCTACGTTCTCACTGCATGCGCATTCAATGCGAATTCCGGAGACCGGCCTCCGGAATTCGGATTGGTTTCTCCCGGTTTAAAAGCGGTGCGTCACATTACAGTTTATTCGGAATGAAAAGCGCCACACTGAATGCGCAGTGAAGGTCATTCATATCCAAGATGGATGCGCCAGGCATTCGTATTGGTGATCTTATGATGCTTATGTTTAATTTCCTGAGGCAAGCAAGGCTACATCAGCGACGCCGGGTCTTACATCTTCGACAGCTTGCCATGCAGCGTCGGGCACGACTTCGTTGGCACCAAAATCAAATGCG